ACACTCTGTACACCACCATAGAGAAAGGGATAAATTATATAGCTTTACTCTATTGCTTTCCTTGTCTCAAAAGGTATATTTTTCAACATCGAAAATTTCAATATTAAATTGAAATTATATTCTTCTCTAAAAACATAGGTACTAATCAATTCATATTTGTTTGTTGGTAGCACATAGAGTTTAGCAAATGTGGTTACCTGCACAGGGCCCACACAAGGCTGGCCTTGTTATGAAAGGCAGAGGGGTTCTGGGGCCTTGCATTTAATGACTGAACTACTGATTACTGATAGATTCTTAGAGAGGGGAAATCATTGTCTTCATGTGCTACCCACTGCTGTGCCCACCAGGCTCCAAGAGATAGCTTCAAACTTATGGTCACATAAAAGACCTTGTTTAAATTCAGTGGGTCACATACACAAAAAACCAAGAGACACAAACATGAAAGATTTCTGGAGAGGAAGGGATTGGACAGGGATATATATGGAGAGAGAGAAGAGAAGAAAGAAGAGTGAAATAGAAGAGGGAGAGAGAGAGAGAGAGAGAGAGAGAGAGAGAGAGAGAGAGAGACGGGGGGGAGAAACAGAGTTAGTTTGGCCTGAATAATGTCTAAAAGTCTTTCAGACTCTGGAATTCTGTGGCCACAGAGCATTTTCATGAGAGAGATGTTGACCTGTGTTGTGTTTCTTTTTCATCTCTTAGGTTAAAAATACTGACAGATACTAAAGCATGACTTTTACAGTATACTTTTTATTAAAAAAATTAGAAAAATTTATTTCTGAAGGATAGGTTGACAAAGGACATGGTGAATTTCCAAAATTAACTGTGAAAGACGGATCATCTAGGCATGACTGAAAGCCATGTATAACCTTTGTGCTCAGATACCTCATTTCAAAATGTCACTTTCTGCTTATTCAATGCGACTGTCATTATACTATTTTAAGCTTTAAAATTTGTGTTCTGAAGCTGAACAGGAATTATTGCTTCTACCTTTGAGGTTATAAGGAATAATTCAAAATTCATTTAAGAGTGATAAAAATCACCTTTTTCAGATGGTTGAATCCAGTTAAATCCAGTTGAATCCAGATTGCAATGCAATTTTCATTGTCTTTTATTAGCAGTGTCTCAGCTTCTGTATATGGAGTTTAAGAATATTTTAAGGACTTTATGAAGAAATTACAGAAATAATTAACTTTCTTTACCTTTTAATTCTCTAGGGGGAGAGATTAAAGTTGAATAAATTATGGCATAATGTTACCTAAAATTTCAGACCCTTCCATATATAGATAACCTTTAAAAATATGACAGTTGAAGTATAGTGTCATTGATCTACCCTAGGACATGTGGGGAGATGAGGAAGAAAGTTAGTTAATAAGAAAACACATTGATTTCTCCTCTTATTTTCCAGAAATAATTATGAGATTTATGTGCATAGAGGGGTATGAAATTTTTAAAAAGCATTGTGTAGGAACAACCTAACCTCCAATATGGAGGAGATGGATCCAATTATTCCTCCTCATCATGTATAATTTATTTAATACATTATTATCTAAATAATACTCATTGTCACACCTTCAAATTTGTGTTCAACACTCGTAAGGAGGACCAGGAAAGAAGCTGCGCACATCGTACACCATCTGCCCTCACTGACATCCTGCACCAGGAAGGGAAAGAAAGTGGCTGGAGAAATTGCTCAGTGGTTAAGAATATTGGTGGCTCTTACAGAGGACCCAGGTTCGAGTCCCAGGCCCCACATAATAGCTAATAACCATCCATAACTCCAGGTCCAGGGGAATCCAAAGTCCTCTTCTGACTTCTTCAGACATGGCACAACACTGGTGCACTTACTTACATGTAGGCAATACACTCATACACATAATAAAAACAGTTTGAAGAAAGAAAGGAAGGAAGGAGGAGAGAGGCTTGTCTAGTGATGCATGTGGGGAGGGGGTGTGCAGCTAGAATGTGCTCTCTGCTGATGAAGGTAAGAGAATGAGAGACAGAGACAGGAGAAATTTAGAAGACTGCCTAGGGACAAGTTATAGTCAATCTTAAAATAACACTACTTACAGTTTCCCAGTGCCACAAGATACAATTCAAATATGTGCTCATCATTCAACTGTAAAAGGCATTTACATATTTACACAGGGATCAATAAATACTGCAGTCTTAGCTGCCTCAGGTTGCCATAACAAAATGAGGGCACAATTTAAATGACAGAGGTTTATTTTCCCATAGTTTATGAGACTAGATGTCTAAGATGAAGGTGATATCATGCCGGACTCTCATTGAGGGCTTTTTACCTGGCTTGTAGATAGATACCTTCCCTCTGTGTTTTGACACTGCAGGGATGACAGGGGACAGATTCTTGCAGTCGCATCATGAGGGCCCTTGCTCTCAAGACTCCAACCAATCCTACCTACCTACTATAGGCTCCAACTCTGGGTGTCATATTGGGGTTTAGGCTTTGAACATATGATTTTTTTTTAAATGTGTGTTGCAGGAACAGTACAGTCAGTGGCAGCAGTCAATTTTTATCACCTCACACTCACCCAAAGAGTCACAGATTATATTTGGTTTTCCTTGTAGACAATATCTGTAAATGATATGAAGTCCTCCCTGCCATGTAAAGGGCTTGTCCAGATTTTTAAAGAATAAATGTTCTGTCTTAAATATAGCCTTAAATATAAGCTTTCTGACTTAAATATAGGCTTTTTTAAATATAGGCTTTGTAGAAAATTCTCTTTCTACAATCATTTAATAAGTATAAATGTTCTTTATTTACTTCCTTGTGTCTTTTTGCAAATAAAATAATCATTTTCTCACAATTTGAGGAAAGCCCAAGCATTGGCCTCACTCATTCAAAATCTGCCTTCTGATCTATGTGGGGAAGGGGAATGTTGTCTGTCCTACTGCTCCTTCTTTGGGTACTGTATGAAGCCGGGATCCCTCACTGGCTGTTTAGAATTTAAGAGAGAAGAATGAAACAGTATTCTAACTATGATGTTCCTATATAGGGAGTTTCCCATGACATAGAGCTACCCTAATTCCTATCTTCAGATTAACCACTAACTCATAGGACCGCCTAACTTAGACTCCCCTTCCTAAAAATTCCTCCTACTTCACACATGCAGTCCCTAGAACTCAACACCCAATGGCAAATATTTTTCCTACTATCATTAGTCTAGGCTGTTCCCTATGGGTGAGGATGACAGAAACTAAACTTCAAAGAACAGTATGGGCAGACTTTTCTTCTTCTAAACCCCCAACCTTTCAAAATTCTTCAAGTACTAAGTCAGCCTTGTCCATTGATAGGCAGTTTTACTTTATATCAACTTGGATTATTTTGCATACAAAATCTGATTTATTTATTTTGAATATGTTGAGAGTCATGCCAAGTGAAGTGATACTGGGAAGAGCTAGTAGTTTCTTTGGTCCTTTCTAAAAAGAAATTGTCTAGCTATTTTCCACCTCATTATGAATATAGGTTTTTTACTTTGTGCCTAAAGGATTCTGGAATGATAGCTTCTTGGAAAGTAACATTAGTTTTTTGTTAGTAAGGCTTAAAGGAAAAGTCTAGATACATTAAGAACATTGAACAAAAAAGCTGTTTGATTAAAGTGAATATAATTATCATCATGGGTACAATGAAAGAGAATATTTGAAATTGCAAATCATCCAGAAAAATGAAATACATAGCCACTGTAGAATACTTGATGGACTCAGTCTTGAGGGGACTGCATAACTAATGCTTAAAAGCATTCCTATCTTTTAGTAAGTTTCAGAAAGACCCCTGAGTCTTAGGCTATGTGACTTAAAACAAGAGGAGAATTCCTACATTTCCCGATTTGTGCCTTGATGCTCTTCTCTTTGGCCTACAGATCACAGAGTAATCTTATTACTTCCTCAAGGTTTGTACTAATAAACTACCCTTGGCTTATCTTCTGTGCTGGCCCTAGCTTAAGCAAATGCACCTGCCACATCGCATCCTGATGATAATCAATATAGCCATGCATCAACACAATCAGGTGAGATAATAGCAAGATTCCCAGATTCCCCGTGTGCCTGACAATGGATTTCAATCTCAGACATTTGTCACATTGTTTTGCCTTCCTGGATGATGTCAGAAGTTTATTTTCTGTCGAAGGTGTGGCGTGGGGGTGGGGTTTCTAGCACCGAAGGTGGTGTATTGGTATATCTGTATCTGTCACACAGTTCCAGTTTCCAGCGGTGATTCTTGAAAATTATGCATCATCCTTAGGTCCTTCTCTTTTAAAACTCTCCAGGGAATTCAGATATATGAATGAAACCATAGCCCATAAATTTACTCCAAAATGGCGTCTGGAATATTATGAGTAGGCTTATGAACAAAAGCAGGCAAATACATTGGAAACAGTAGCTGGAGATCTGGAGATTAACTTGGTTCATAAGATTTTTACATCAATTTATCTGGTCTTGGATTCATCTTCCTGTGAGTTATTTATTTGCACCAGAACAAAGATTAAGTCCAGCAGGCTAAGACATTTTTATCCTAAATGAAAGAAAGGTGTGATCATGTGTAGCAGTCATACCAATGAAAGATCTCAGTCTCTTCTATTATTTTGTGGCGTTTATACTTACAGACACCGTGTTATTTTCTCCTCTGAGTTTTGGTCTCACTTAATCCTTATAAGTTAATTTTTATGAAAGTTTGTAATTTTTGTTACACCTGAAAGTTTGCATTCTGTAATTCCAAGGCAGAGGCGTGGCAAGCCCTAGGTTTAAAGCATTTATCAGTGTTGGATAATTATTTAGATAACAATCCGCCAACAGCGTTGGCATGATTCGAACATCAAGATTTTCTATGGGAAGCTTTGGGGTTTGAGTTTTGGTCAAAGCCTCAAGTTAGAGGTAAAGTTGACTACTCCTGTCCAAAGATTGTAGAAAACCCGAGTGCAGCCGAATTAGAGAGCTTCCTGCTATGTTCGTCTTCTTTACTCTTTTTTTTCTTTTCCTGCTTTCAGTGTCTGCCAAGCCAAGACCTCACAGTGATGAGTATTCAAAGAAAATTCCCCCTCCGAAACCCAAACGGAATCCTAATACTCAGCTTAGCACGTCTTTCGATGAAACCTACATCAAAAAGCATGTGCCAAGGAGGACCTCGCTCCCCCGGGATTCGTCGCTGTCCCAGGTCTGCAGCCCCGCAGCAGACGGCGAGGAGGAGGAGCCCGTGTACATCGAGATGGTGGGGAACATTCTCAGAGACTTTAGGAAAGAGGACGACGATCAGAGCGAGGCTGTCTACGAGGAGATGAAGTACCCCATTTTCGACGACCTAGGCCAAGATTCCAAATGCGACTTTGAGCTTCACAGCTGCTCCTCACAGTGTGCTACTCCCACGGTGCCTGACTTGGACTTCGCCAAGTCTTCAGTGCCATGCACTCCTAAGGGTTTGCTCTGTGACATCCCGCCGCCCTTCCCCAACCTGCTCTCTCATAGACCTCCCCTGCTGGTGTTCCCCCCAGCCCCGGTCCACTGCTCCCCCAATTCTGACGAGTCTCCACTGACCCCGCTGGAGGTCACAAAGCTTCCCGTGTTGGAAAACGTGTCTTACATGAAACAGCCACCTGGAGCATCTCCATCCTCACTGCCACACGCCTCCAGCCACGCTAAAGAGCAGCCCGGAGCCCTGGGCCCTACTTCTGCGACGTCTGTGCTCTCCTCATCCCCTCCGCCTCCGTCCACGCTGTACCGAACCCAGTCTCCCCACGGCTACCCTAAAAGTCACTCCACCTCCCCGTCCCCGGTCAGCATGGGGAGGTCCCTGACGCCCCTGAGCCTCAAGCGGCCGCCCCCCTATGACGCCGTGCATTCCGGCGGCCTCTCCAGGAGTTCCCCCTCAGTGCCTCACTCGATGCCCAGACCCGTGTCGCAGGACGGGGCCAGGATGGTCAATGCTGCGGTGAACACCTGCAGCGCAGCGCAGAGCGGCTCGCGCTCCAGAACCCCCACGAGTCCCCTGGAGGAGCTGACCAGCCTCTTCACCTCAGGCCGGAGCCTGCTGCGGAAGTCCTCCAGCGGCCGTCGGTCCAAAGAAGCAGCAGAGAGTAAGTGTGCCCAGGCGTACCGAGCCAAACCCACAGCAATGTCGTGACATGCGCCAAAGCTCGGAGGACTTGCTTTCCAGTCCTTTCAGCCCCAACCTCAAAATGCAAAATGCACTGTTTCACTTTGAACAGGCAAGTCAAGCCCCTGTGTTCGGGATAGGAACTGCCTTTCAGTCGCCACATTCTAACACATCCTATCCCAGAAAAGTGAGGGTTTGTTTTCTTTTTTATAGATAAAAATCACAATTCTTACAATGGCCCTGAAAAGTCTAATGAAGAATGCTATGGAATTTTTAGGTAAAACGTTTGCTTTATAGGCAACTAAATATGCAAATCCAGAACTGTACAGTGGCAAAACTTACCTTCATCTTATAGCAAAAGATTGCTCAAACAAGTGTGTATCAGAAAACTTCTGCAGGAAAGGGAGCAACTTGGGTAAAGTTTGGGAATTATTTTCTTTTACTATGTGGAATAGTTTTGTCTACATACTGAATTGCTGCACAGTTTCCTTCACTGTCTACAAGAGAAGATTCATGACTTCCCTTGTAAACACCAAGGCAGGCGTGGAGAGATGGCTCAGCAGTTTAGTGCACTGAACATCCAGGGGGCTCACACACCCTCTTCTGGCCTCTACTCAGGCTCCAGCAGACACAAACACATGCACACACATATAAATAAAAATAAAATAAGTTTTAAACATCATGGCATTCCACATCTTATTTTTAGGCACCCTTCCTGCATCCATTCATATATACAGTATACAGGAAGTCACTTAGGTGGTGAACACAATTTGCACTGAGTTTCAAAGCCTGGGAAATTTCTATCTCAGAGTGGGTAGCCCTTTCATGAGCCCTAAATAAATGACATCAGAAGCCTATAGAAAATCCCAACAGATCCAGGTCTATTTTCTCTGTGCCTAGTTCCTTCAGTCACGCTAGTTTCTTTCTTTCTTTCTTTCTTTCTTTCTTTCTTTCTTTCTTTCTTTCTTTCTTTCTTTCTTTCTCTCTCTCTTTCTCTCTCTCTTTCTTTCTTTCTTTCTTTCTTTCTTTCTTTCTTTCTTTCTTTCTTTTTTCAAATGCTTAAGCCACCTAAGCTGATTTAGTGATTTATATGTCAAATGACCCCATTGTGTCATTTAGTTTCCTATTTATGAGGTTCTACAGAGGAAGAAATGAAATCCCCAACATTTTTGATGATGACAATGATCATGACATTCTTAAGTAATTTATATCCATTGGTATTTATGAGCCACTTTTCTTGTTTTTACCCCTTTTACCTGGAAAGATTTAAGAAAGGATTAATCGACTAATATCTTCCCAAAATATTTTATGTGCCTAGCTGAAAGGCAGTAGTTTCTAATAAGCTTGGCATGCTGGAGCTATATCTATATACACATAAAACTAATAAGTTAAATTGTTTCAAGAATTGAATTTAAAAATTAGTGGCATCTTATATTATATATAGATACATAAAACCAAAACCCAGTTATAGATGTAGATATATGACATGAATTCACAAGAGAGAGAAGAATAAGGAGGGAAACTAGCAGGAAGAAGGGGGGCATACGGCATGTATAGTCAAAGTATATGATACATGTGAAAGAAATTGACTTTATGAAGCTCAGCACCATGCACAGTGCATGTATACCCAATTTAAATGAGCAAACAACAAATTCAGCATTTTAAATCACACTCACACACATACACAGAAGCAGTCTCTTTACAGAGCAGTTGTTCTCAATTAAGACAATTTTTGCCTCTAGGGATGTACGGCAATTTCTAGAAATATTACTAGTTATCACACTGGGGTGCTACTGATATCTACCACATAGCTGCCAGGAATGTACAAAATAGTCTGCCGTCAGAAAAAGAAGATCCATTTTAACTAATGTTCCTAAGATAAAGGAAAAAATTGCAAAGAAATGTTTTACTTCTAAAACATACAATTGCTCCTGTGAAATTATTAGAAGTTTCACTTAGACTTGGTGAAACTGTTGAATTTTCTTCCTACCTGTTCTCTTGGAGAAAGAACCCTTAACACCTCCAGCTGGCAGTTATGCTAATTAGGAAAGAACTATACGTAAACGGAATGATTAGTTAATGAAGTTATTTCAGGAAAAATATCCATCTGTTAGTATCTGTGTGTGTGCTGTGTGTCAGAGACTCCACTATCATTCTTTGAAATGAGCTTTTCATGCTTCTAAAACATAGCTTATGCCAGAAAAGTGGCCTAGGTTCTATTTAGCTTTCAAGGAGCTAAGGATTAGGTACCTTTCCATGATATATTAACCATGCTTTGACCCTTTAGAGAAAATGAATGCCCTGAGTTTCACCAGTCCTGATATTTTTTGTTTCACATAAATGGGAGGGAAGAAAAATGCAGTGTATACAAATTAATAATCATATTTTTAATTTTCCTTTGTGGAAGAAAATTGAAGGATACTATTGGAGGCTAAAAAAAATCACAGGTGCAACATTGTGCAATGCACGGGAACCAAGACTGTTAATGACTGAGAGTTAGCTGGTAACGGCTGTTGCAGAGTACTGACTGATATGCCCTCCCTTATTTTTGCCTAATGGGATTTGTAGGCACCTGTTGATGCTGTAGGGGCAGAAGTAAGTGGCACAAAGTAGTAAAGCAATATTGACATGTGCGCATCATTAAGTTTTTTCTTTAAGATACATTTCAGGACTGCTTTCCATTTTAGTGATGAAAGGAAGACTGTCTGCTTCCCTTGAGTTCTCTCCTCACTGGAAAAGTGAGTTTCAGTCACTCTCTGCATTTCTTCCAAAACAAATATAATCTTGGTTTTAACTGAAGAAATAGATGTAAAATAATATTTACACTTTCGAATCTTATTTTTAATAATCTAAAGGAAGTGCTTGTTTTTGTTTGGTTCCTGTTGCTGTGGCCAAACACTCTTATCAACACAATATAGGGGACACAACTTTTAAAATTTATTTATTTATTAACTACATGATTAGAAGCATTTCATTATAACACTAATATATTCAATAACAATTTCCAGAGCAAAGATGCAGCTCTTTCAAAATTGGCTGTAAATTTTTAGGTTCACAGTTGAATTCTACAATATTGAACTTATACAATATTGAACTCAGTGTAAACCCTATAAGACATAAAATTGAGGCTTTAGCCTTTTAAAAAAATCTCCATTTCATTTTAAAATATACTATTCCATACAGAAAAACTCACCTTTAATGCTACTAACACTTAGATATTTGCACATGAGTTTTTAATCTCTATGTATCTGATTAATACTAGTCATGGTCGGGTACACTCAAATCCTTGGCACCTGAGTATGGATATAAAAGTCATCAGGTAGATTTCAATGATGTTTTTCACCTCTACTAAATAACATGAAGCAATTTTTTTGCCTCTTCATCAAATATAACTCATTTTTTTGTTTGTTGATTTCTTTTGTGTGTGTATTTCATACAGAACATCCCAATCTTATTCATCTATATACCCACTTCCCAAATGGCACCCTGCCATAGCCACCACTCCCTCGACTGGAGCCTATATACTCTGTCATCCCTGTTACTGTCCACTGTGTTGTCAGTGCCCCCAGCTGTTCCCCAGTGCTTGTCCATCTGCTGAATCTAGTCAGCCCATCTAGAGATCCTTGTTTTAGGATGATCATCTGTTCCTCATCTAGCAGTAATCAGTTGTCAATATTCCTTTAGATAAGATTGGGGTCTGCTGTTCATTTTCCCAGTTCTACGCTGGGTTACTGTCTGGGAGTCTCTTGGGTCACCCTGGCCAGCAACACAAAGGAAGGTATCTCCTGTCTGTCATTGTTTCTTGTTATGTAGCCTTTAGCTATACATGGACTCTTAAAGAATTATATTGGCCCCTTTAATCTTTGCTTATACTTTCCTCTTAAATACCTTTTGGGTATTTAAGACCATACAGTTGGCCCAGATTAACCAATTTATTTTTACTCTTCAGGTCATTTGAGGATTTGTTCCTCAGGGGTCACATGGGCTTGGGAGGAGCCCCTGGCTCCTTTCTTTTACCAGTTCCATCTATGTGAGGATCAGTCAAATGTTCTGCTCAACTATGGCAGGCTTCACTTGGAAGCAGGGAGGAAATATTTCCTCTGTTTTGACCCTCCTTTTTGTAGACTGGACACTGGTTCAAGTCCATTTGATGGGGTCTCCATGGCCTCCTTGATCAAGAGGACAGGTGACTCACCACAGTTACAGGACATTTTGAGAGATGCTCATAGTCCCCTGAAGCTTAGTTGACCTAGGAGAGCAAGGGGCAAACACTCTCCTTTATGTCCCTCTGACCAAACTGGTATAGACCTGAAAGTATGTCTGTTAGACATCCAAGAAGGTTAGTTCTACCAGTCTGGTACTTTTAATTACCATGTGCTATGTAGATAAATCTTGGGCAAAGATTGTCTCATATAAACCTTACCTGTACATATATTTCTTGATCTGGTATGAATTATTTGTCTGTAGGTTGTTGGACTAATGTGGTTCCCTCTGGTTTTCAAAACTAGCTAGGCGTTATTTATCTCTCCCCTCTCTTCCACTGTCTAACACTTCTGTCATGCTTTCCCCATTGTCTAACCCTTCCACCATGGTTTCCCCATTTAAAGTGCCCCCATTTTCCCCATTTCTCCCTTAATAATACCCTTCTCTTATGGTCCCACCTCTTTTGAGTTCCTTCTTTCCCTTTATCCCCACGTTTCCTTGTATAACCCTTTCTTCTGTCTCCCCTTAAAATAACCCTATTTAAATCCATATCTCTGTTGTTAATGCCCATTTCCTACTATTCTTCTCTTTCAGATGCTTTCTTTTCCTTTACCTCCCTAGTTCCTTTTCATTATCCTGGTTATGTTATACATACTAATTTATAAAGATTTGGTACTAAGATCCACATATGAGAGAGAACATACATCATTTGTTTTTCTGAATCTGTGTTACTTCACTTAGTATAACAGTTTCTAGTTCCATCCACTTACCTGCAAA